CGAAAAGAAACCACCAATTCAGTGGGGTAAGGTCCAGGTAACCCTTACCAACTAGATTAAAGAGAGAATATACAAATGGGTTCGGGCTGACCCAACAAAGTCCCGAAGAAGAAAAGAAAAGCCAAATAGAACAACAGAAATTAACAGCTGCAAGAAAAACAAACAGAACAAATATCTTTCCTCCTCCACTGAGCGTATCAGCTAGTTCATCTGGTAAGGTAGGGTAAAAGATTCAAGGCTTCAATTTCTTCCCATTTCACAATCTTCCGAGCTTTTTTGTTCGACCAATACCAGTGTTGAACCAGTTTTTGAATTTCAATAGTAATCCCCTATTTGGTCGCTTTGTGTTCCTCGTAGAGACATCTATTGTATGTCTTCCAAAGAATCCAGATGATGCATCCCGGTAAGATAAGCTTAAGAAGACCCCGAAGGGAGGTTTTTTTATATGACACCCACCATTGTAATAGAAACTCCCTTAGCTCCCTGCCTTGACTCCATACTGGACCTCCAATATAATTCGCGAAGTCTCGCCAGATACTTAGAGAGATGTCACATGTGAGTAGCGTATGTTCATCTGTCGCTTCAGCCTTAGCACAGAATAAACATTTACTAGGCAAATTATATGACAGTTGATTGAGGATATTGGGAAAAGGTAGAAATTGGTTCAAGGCTTTCCAAGTGAAAAGCTTTATCTTGGGGATCTGATACTTGTTCCAAGTGAGAGTGTGGAGCTGAGTACTGATGTCCCGTTCCCTAACTGCCCAATATGCCTCCTTAAAAGTGAAGTCCCCATTGTTCCATTTGAGAATGTTATTGTTCATGGTTGTGTTTTAAAGGCCTATAGTAGAAATTCTGCAGATTCTTTTCCAAGAGGCTGAGTCATACAGTTTAGATTCAAAAAGACCATCTCTGTAATATTTGTCTTTCATATAGGTGGCCCAAAGAGAATCACCTGTGATTGATTTCCACCAAAGTTTCAGAGCTGAAGCTTTTTGGATATCATCCAGACTCCTTATACACAACCCTCCTTCTCCTGAAGGTCTGCAGAGGGTGACCCATTTAGACCAATGATGTTTATTCTTCCGCGCTTTAGAGCCCCAGAAAAAGTTAGCCAGTTTGGAATGGATTTGATTGATGATGGATTTGGGATTGTCCTGAACAGCTAGAGTATGTAATGGGATGGCACTGAGTACATGCTTAATGAGTATGAGCCTACTCATTGGATTAAGCTCTTTGTTGTACCAGCTGTTAAGATAAGCATCAAAGTGATGAAGAATTTGGTCACAATCAATTCTTTTGAGCTTACCTGTGGTAATGGTAGATCCCAGGTATTTGAAAGGAGGATTCCCCACCTTGAAACCTAGAGCTTCCTCCACTTTCTTTCTGTATGTTACATGGCAAGTCTTTTTGCAAAAAATTTTGCTTTTGCTGTTATTAACTTCTTGCCCAGATGCCCTTAAGTAGTTAGATAGGATGTACTTGAATCTCAGCAGATTTCTGAAGTCACCCCTGAGGAAAACAATGAGATCATCTGCAAAAGCGAGGTGGGACACCACTGGGCTCCTTCCAGCCTTAAAGGGGGATATAAATCCAGAATTAATGGCTTGCTTGAGGCTCCTGGAGAAACCTTCAGACCCAAGAATAAAGAGAAGGGGAGATAAGGGGTCTCCCTGTTTAACTCCCCTCTTAATTTTAAAAAAGCCTGAAGGTTTGCCATTAATAAGGATCGACATGTGTGTAGACTCTAAGCTTTGGAGAAGAAGAGAGATGCATTTCTCCTTGAATCCAAAAGCTGTGAGAACAGCCCTTAAATAGCTCCATGACATTTTATCAAAGGCTTTAGCCATATCTAGCTTTATCATAATATTACCACCTCTGATCTTGGATTCCAGTTTGTGCATAAGTTCATTGGTCAGCAATATATGTTCCTCAATACCTTTACCTTTCTGAAAGCCTGCTTGTTCAGGGGAGATTAGCTTAATAAGTAAAGGGGATAGCCTATTAGCCATAATTCTGGAAGTCAACTTGCTGAAGAAAGTGGAGAGTGCTATAGGCCTGTAGTCACCAATGACTTTGGCTCCTTCCACCTTAGGAATTAGTGTAACATAGGTGCTGCCAAAAGCCATGGGGATGGGAATGCCTAGAAAGAACTCCTGTGTAGCACTAACGATATCTGCCTTAATGATATCCCAACAATGGCGAAAAAATTCACCATTGTACCCATCTGGCCCTGCTGAGCTGTTAGGGTTCAATTGCCAGACTGCTTCCTTGATTTCCTCTTCAAGTGGCAATTGAACAAGGTTGATATTGTCTGTTTCAGTGATGAGATTAGGTATGTATGGTAGAATAGTTTTCAGGCTCTGATTTCCCATGTGAGTAAGTGAAAAGGTGGCTTCAAAATGGCTGACAATATAACTGGAAATCTCATTTTGATCCACCATTTCTTTTCCATCTTGATTTTTGAGTAGTCTGATGCTAGCTTTTCTCCTTTTTCCTTTTACAAAGGAATGAAAAAATTTAGTTGATGCATCTCCACTGGATAGCCATTTGATATTAGCTTTTTGAGCCCAATAATTTTCTTCCTTGTTGCATGCTTTGAGTAATTTAGCATGAGCTAGATTACAAGCCTCTCTATTGTTTGCTGAGTCATCAAGTTCATATTTTTCCTGTGCTTGAAGGTCTTCCAGTTCTGCTTCCTTAACTTGAGAAAAAATATTGCCAAAGTGTGTATTGTTCCATTCCTTAATACACTTTTTGAGACTCTTAAGTTTAGAAGCCAAACCCCTCATTCCTCTCCCATTAGTAGTGGAGTTCCAAGATTCTTTAACCAAACCAATGAAGCTTTTGTCTAATGTCCAAGCATTGAGAAATCTGAAGGGTTTAGGTCCATTGTATTGGTAGTTAATGCAGTCCAATAGGAGAGGTTTATGGTTAGAAGAAGTTTTGCCCAAATGATAGAGGAAGATCTCAGAGTGCTGATCTATAGTGGCCTGATTGATAAGTACTCTGTCAAGCCTACGCAAAACTCTGCCTTTAGTTCTGTTACCCATCCATGTGAAAGTGTTTCCCTTAAGGCAAGGGTCCAGAAGGCTACATGTGAGAATGCAATCCGTGAAGTCTTCCATGCTTCTGAGGCAAGGAGGAACATTACCCTGATGCTCAGTGAGGGTAGTGACAGTATTAAAGTCCCCTCCCACTATCCATGGTTGATCCACTGGATTGTGGTTAGTGATAGATTCCCAGAGAGGCAGTCTGTCGTTTCTGGTGTGTTTCCCATAAACCGAGCTGATATAGATAGGAGAGTGATTGGGAGAATTTGTGAAAAGGCAGGTAGTGACCTGGTCACCTTCCTGGACTTGAGATAATGTGAGAGTGTTGTTGTCCCATAGTATCCAGCACTTATTATGTTGAGTAGAAAAGCCATGACTAAAACCAAGCTTGAGTTTGTAGAAGTCCATTTTTGTACCAGCAACAATTGGTTCAAAAATAGCTAAGAAGGAGAAGTTGTAAACTTTTTGAGAGTAATAAGTCTTTTAAGGGAAGACTTAATTCCACAAACGTTCCAGAAAAGAGCTTTCATTGGGGAAGATTGGAGGAGCTCTTAGTGGCAGACCTGAGCCTTGATTTAATTGTGGTGTTGAGATTAAACATTTGAGCATCTAAATTTTGGGTTGGTAAAACTGGGAGGGCTGCCAGAGGTTTTTCAAGAAATTGATCATCCACAACCCCTAGGTCCTCACAGTCAGACTCATCACTGTCTGAATCACCCTGGTCTGATAGCAGAGAGGTAAATGTAGATTCCTCAATTATAGGTAAAGGCTTCCATAAGACTAATGCAAGATTTTTAACCTCTTTCTTATTTGCAGGAGCTGGAGGGTAGACTGGATTTGAATCATTGGCTGCCAACTCGGTAAAAACTGATGGAGAAGCGACTGGTACATCTGTAATAATGTCTGGAGGGGAGTTGTCTTGTAGCTGTTTGGAATATACCTGTGAAGAGCATTCCCCAGGGCCTGACTTGAATGTGACCAGCTTCCTCCTCCACTCTTTGCCTGACCCACTTTTTTTGGAAGTAACCATTGTCCATTGTTCCTGCAATTGCTCTTTTCCTTTTCTTTGAACCGGTTCTTCCCCAACAATCTGAACCGGATGAGGTGGCTGCAATTTCTTCTCCCCCTGAAGTGATCTTCTGCAGAAACCCTTCAAGTGCCCCAGTTTCATACAGGTGGAACAATAATGTGGAACATTTTCAAAAATTAGAGGAAAGAAGGAATCTTTATCCCCTAGTTTGAGATGAACCTTTGCAGGAAGGGGTTTGGACACATCAACCTCCACACAGAAAAGTGCCAGATCTGGTCTTGAAAAGTTGAGGGTATTTTCATCAACTTTCAGGGGTCTTCCGAGAGAAGAAGCAATTAGAGCTAAAGCTCGTTGGTCATGAAGGTAGATTGGTAATTTTGGACAGGCCACCCAAACTGGAACAGTTGGGCAGTCTTCTTCCTCTGAATGGTCAGGAGTCCATTTTGTGATAACCATAATTTGGTTACCCACCGTCCAAGTTTGTCTAAGGAAGACTCTTTGATAGTCTTCTTCATATTGAAAATTTAATAGAAACTGGTTGGTTGAGAGTTTGCCCACTTTGAACTCCCCTTGTAGGCCAAGTTTCTGTAAAAAGCTCTGCATAATAGGGTAAGGAGGACGTCTTGCAAAGGTTCCAATTAGTGCGTTTGAGAACCTCTTAGAAAGCTGCTGTATATCTTCAATTGGAAATGAAATTGAGGGACATCCCTTGAAAGTTCCTTGTATACACACACACACACACACACAGATATATATATATATATATATATATATATA